TCCTAAAAGAAACATCTGGGTTCAAGCTGACAAGGCTTTATCGTGTATCTCAGTTTTGGATTTAAACACTTCACACACCAACTAGACATAAAATGTTTTGTGGACCCAGCCCTCAGCACATACTAGAACCAATGACACATACAACTTTCATGTATACAATGGATTATTCTTCTACTGTTACGGTGTAGAAAAAAGTGGAAATTAAGCTTTAAAACTGCAGTAATCACAAAAATAATTCCTATAAATAAAAGTTATTGGCACTCCACATATGACATATTAAGTCCTTTTTATATCTAGTTATCAGTTCTGATACATATGCCTGCATGTATCTGAAGTCTGTAATCAATCTTACTGTTCATAGTTGATTTACTATCAGCAGCTTTTTAATTTCAATGAAGTGCAATTCACAACGTAGTGAGATTAAAAGAGTTCTGAATCAGATCGGATGTAATTGTTTTACATCAGCAACACAATAAATTTACCTGTATACTTGTACTTGATCTGTGGCTATGTTGATCTCCGAAACAAGCTAATTAATAAGAATGATAAAATCTAATGAACAACATTGACCCACACAATCATTGTTTGGTTTGAATATAGATGGAGAGAACTAGCAGCACAACACAGAAAATACTTATCTTGTAAACAACAAAGAATACTTGCTAAAAAAAAAAAAAAAGGAGTCATTACTAGTCATGTCTAGGTATTGTATAATTAGCAGTCTTTAATAGCTGGAACAGGGAAAGACAGAAAGGAATACAGTTTTCATCAGTCCAGACACAGATGGGAATTAAAATAACCTCCGCATGGAAACTTCAGTGTAAAACACCACAGCTGTACTTCCATGAAAAAAATGAATGCAAGACTTGAAACTGTGCTGAGTCTGTCAAAAGAGAAGAAAGCCAGAAGCCACTTGGGTGTTTTTTTGAAACTTGTCCACTAATGAAACCCTCATTAGTCAGTGCAAAGCTTGCAACATTGCTTGGTTCACTGCAGGATGTATGTAAGTAAATAGCCATGTCCTCAAAACCCTTATAAATGCATGGTATCCGTAATGCTAAGCTAAGAGAATGTAAATAACTGGTGATCTATTTTCTTGCAGTAGAGCAGCAGTTTGAAAGGAAATGCACTACTTGAAGGGCCCTAACTTGACCTTAAGAACAAAAGCCAGGCTGCTCTCAGGTTCTGTTCCACTTAACAGGCACTCTTTGCAGATTATTCTTCCAGACAGGTTTTCCAGGAAAAGAGAGAAAAAAATTTTTGGTTTGACAGTCAGTTGAGCATACTAGTTCCTTTTATAATACCCTTGTTTAGGCGCCATATATACATGCAAAATGAAGGACTAAGCACCCAATTCTCTGCTCAGTTCTGTGAAATGCTTCCTAGGGAAGTTGTCAGACTCCACAACTACAGAGAACTATCCTCAGCTGCTGTCAAAAGCTCTGTTGCATTGGACCAGGAAATCATCTGGTTAGAAATGTTCCAGAAGATACTTAACCTTTTAAACAAGCCACTGATATCCAAGGCATTAGCTAAGTTTGCTAAGACAAAGGCCAACAACACATAGCATCAGCAACAGCTTAGTAGTTGTTGCATTAAAATACCAATGATCATGCTATACTGCCTTCTGCAGAGCTCGTGGTAACAGATCAACACCTTTGAAAGCAAGCCTTATAGATATGATGGCCGCCTTCTGCATCACCAAGCATATACATATTTAAAGCTCCCTTTGTTTTCTACAGTCATTTCCACAAAGCACTGTAATAATCTTATCTTTCACTTAGTTCCCCACACACTTCAAATTCTAGCTGTAACACAAGCAAAACATTCAAAGTTGTGTTTACTAGGTCTATCTTTCTTGGTATGTATGTGACATAACTTGTTTTAAGTTTTGGCACTTTCAATTTACCTTCATACTGTGTCATTAGCCTTGCAGCTCCCATGTATACTTAGCAGATCATCTTACACAAAGTTCTGCTATCTTATGGACTCTTCCATATAACTATTAATATAATTATATGTCTTTTCAATGCCTCAATCTCTTTTTCAGTTTTACAGCAAGTCATTTTCTCTTCCAGAGTTCTTCTGCTCTGAAAGTTCTCCAGGAATAATGCCTCTCAAGATGGACGCAGCAGTTATCAACTGTGTTAAAGCTCTTCTAAGTATCTCTGCAAACACTGCAAAAGAACTCTGCAAGTGGGATCCTGAGGGGATTGTTCCTGCTGTTGGTTTCCCACATATTGTTTCTTCAATAAACTGGCCTGGTTTGCAGCTGCTGGTCAAATTTCACCACACAGCTTATTTAGCAGAGGGGAAATAAGCATCTGCAAGTAAGTATAATGATTGTACTCAGCACATTCCTATCCAACAAGTGATGGCTGGGAGACAAATTTGGGCTTTATTTTTAGATACCCTGCCCAGTACGTGGCTTACATCCCAAATTTCTCTGCACCCCACCAGGGGTCACTAACACCGTATTACAGATGTTCCTCAGCAGGGTAGGCAACTTCATTCTTCTATCATAATAATTTAAAGTACGTACACACTGCATAGCCACTCTTTTACACAAACATATACTTACTGGTATATTCATGAAACACATCTAAAAGGTTTTGCAAAGACTGACACATTGTGTGGTTTCCAAGCATGAAGAAAAAAAAAAATCTGTAGCCTTCTAAAAGACAGCCATTTGGAGGGCCTGTAAAAAAAAAAAAAAAAAAAAAAGGCATTCCCTCTAAGCTTAAGTTCTCTCCAGAGATGATTCACTATCTTCAAGATATCCACATCTGGCATTAACTAAAGCTTTCTTGGCAATGGCAGACTTCAAGAATGAACATGGGCAAATAACATTTTCTCAAGAAATCCCACAGTAGGAACACAAAAATGGAAAACTCTTTAGGGGAATTAATACATTTCTGAAACATTATTTACCCGAGAGGCTCACAACTCAATGCTAGTATACATGTATATAGCACATACATGTATATACATGCAGGATCCAGAGACAGAGGAAATTAGTATATGGTGTCTGCCCAGTATGTGCACCACTACAAGCAACACTAGGTTCATCCATCAGCATTCAGCCATGAGAACTTTAAATTCAGAGCTTTGATGAGGAAATTCAGCCATACAAAATAGGTAGAAGCCTGTCATCATTAGGTGAAACCGCAGGAGCCACATTATTACAAAACTGCAGCAGCCACATTATTACACATACCATAAATCCACAAGTCCAACTCATCTGAAACAGCACCATCAGACAGCACAGACAGAACAACCTGCCAATAGTTTAGTCTAAACTAAAGTTTTACCTTCAGCCTTAACTCAGTTCTGATTACTTTCATCTCAAGTATTCCCAGAATAACACCTCTACACAGGTACCCATCCATACAGCAAATTAATTAGTTTATTTGAGAAGACTAGTGCTCTACTTACCCATCAACAATCCTTAACTTAGCCAAAAGAGTCTTCATAAAAACTAGGAGCTTTCATTCCATGAATAAACTCCATCTCCCATCACCAAGGCAAACACTAGCACAAGTCTGCTTAACAAAGGCAAGTGCTCTTTGAGACTTACTCAGATAGCACTTCTAACATATCAGTTCAGTCTCATGAACAGCTTTAAGACCAAAACAAGCTCACCTTGAAGCTGGGTTTATTGTAGCATGTATTAAAGCTTCCACTTCTTGCAGCAGATTAACACACTAAGTAAAACCAACCTTCACGCCATCAAATCATTCTTCTCCTAGCTCCTCAGTAGTCAGAGGCTGTGGCCTCATCTCTCCTATTTCTTCTGAGTGCACAGATAAAATTAGCACCTAAGCTAGGGAAAACACAAGCTATTCAGGCTTGTGATTTCTCCAGTCCATCTTGGAGAATGACTTAACCCTCAAGCTTAGAGGCAGCTGCAATAGTTACGTTACATGCTTACACAACTGTACCATTAGCATCTTTTAAAATTATCTTCTCCAGTGGTTCTGTAAAGCTACACAAGTCTCACTCATTCCCTTTTCTTCTTTTGAAACTCATGCCATGAAACTAGGAAATCTCAGAATTAAAGGAAGATTCTGTAATTCATGTTATCCAAGATGGTCATCTGAGCACTTCACTCACTCCCTCCAAAGAAAGGGCAGCCATTTGTTTGAGGGACAGAATACAGTCCAATTCATAAAGATTTTAACTAGTTAACCCAGCAAATCACCAGTATCGTTACAAGACAAGAGACATGATGCCTAGACTAAGAGAAGTGATACAAAAACCTCCACAAATTAATCCATTTAAAAAAAGTGTTAAACCAAGTAGTACTTATGTTATAATCAGGTTTGAATTTTGAATAGGTAATTACTTTTCATTGATAAATAATTGCTTTTAATGAACAACTTAATTGCTTTAATGATACTAAACTAACATTTTGTATTAATTTCCTGATTTGATCAGTTTACATTATGGTAAGAAATATACAAAACCTCACTTACGCTAAGAGACAACAGATGCAGGCCTTACGAAGAAGGTCAAAGCTAAAGCTGCTGCGGATTGTGAAATTGTCCAGAACACAGAACAGGGAGGCAGGGAGACAGGCACAGGGAATGAAAGTGCACATTCTTAGCACATTTTCTTATCTTATGTGATGAAACCATAGAAACAAAGGAATGTTACTGTGAAGACCCTCACATCCTCCCTATCCTAATTTGTATATCAGAGATTTTGATCAGTAGGATAACCAATGATTATATTAGTATAGGAATATTAATGAAGTTATTTAATAGGGTGGACCAATCACTGTAAATGTCAAAATTAATAGCGGGCATAACACGCACGCTTATGTTAAAGAACATGACTTTGCAGAAAAAGGATACAAAATGTTGAATTTTCAATGTAACTTTGAAGCACATCAGATGGAGCTATCCCCCGTGCTTCCCAGCGCTGTAACAAAGAAGTTCCTGCTTCTCTGCAATTGGGTAGATAAGTTTGTCATGATTGAGACCTTCCGTCAACACTTACAGGGAACGCTGAGCATTGTATGTACATGTTTATCTGTACAATTCATAGTTACTCACATACACACATAAATATTTAATATATAAAAAAATAAAATGCTTTCTATCAGGTCCCAATGCAGGGACATTATAAACTGCAAAACAAATAGATACAAAGAATATTACATCAAACATACATGAAAACAGTTAACACAGTATGTACAATCTGGTGGGTGTCCCAAGACAAAACATCCCTTCATATACATGGTATAAACATATATACTCACCTTTACTCAATATATTATGACAATATATATTTCAAAGCTTTGTTAATAGACAAAAAACCTACAGAAATGCAACAAAGATCAAGCACACAAGTCCAAGACCAAGAAAGAATTTGCTACCCTTGCCCACACCACCACCTCCACTGCTTGGAAAGATATGCCAGTGCTCTTTCCTGGGGTGCAGTGCCTCCACATCCTGCAAGGCACTGTGAGCAGCAGCTGTGAAGTTAGTGTCACCAGTGGTGAGTAGGTCAAATACACATGAGTAAAAATAGATGTCCTTCACCAGCATCTTCTCGTGGCATTTGGTGGTGGCAGTATCCAGTGTGTACACTGGCCGGGCATGAGCAGCACCACCCTGAGGGAGCAACTGCCCCATCACAGGCAATGGTAAGCGGCCACTATCATCAATACGTTCACTTAAAGGGCAACCGTTCACACACAGCTGCAGATCCTGGCTCTCCTTGTAGGCCATGACCAACTCTTGAGGCATGCGAATGGACAACGTTAAGTAGTGCCCAAGCTGGCGTATATACACTGTGGTCCCAATGTACCTGGCGTGCATTTCAACGTATTCGCCACTGACTTTCTCCAAAATTCGCAAGCTCTTGGTATTCTCATCACCTCCACTTGTTGTACCATCAACAAAAGCTGCCGGCAAGTCATCAGTCACTGCTTGATATACTTTCTGGTCTGTACAGTCTTGGTAGGATTTAAAGATAACAGTTATCTGGGGGGAGGGGTGGGGGGAAGGAAAAAGGCAAAGTTAGTGGAAAAATATCATTATTTCAACCCCTTTTCCATTTTGCAGCTGAACACATCTGAGACCGCCTACTACCTCAGAGCTTGACAGTTGTCCTCAACTCATGACTGAAGGAAAACAGTCTGTACACATGCTTAAAGCAATATTTTACCAGATGGCAACTGTTAAATTTGTTCTTAGGTTGGCCTGGAAGCAAGACTAACAGCATGTGGCAACAGCCACAAGGTCAGGAAAGGAAAAGGCTTTATATTTAATTAAGCATCAAAAGTCCCTCTTGCCTGACGGTTTCTTAATACTTTGGAATGCATCCTCCAGTCACAGGGAAGTTTAAGTGTCAAGTAATTCCCACAATGCTAGCCACTATAGCAAAACCAGAATGAGACTGCAAAATCACAGAAAGATACAAGAGAACTCCACTTCCTCCACTCACAATATTCTCATCACTTCTTTTACAGTGACTGTATGACCCTTGTTGGGATACTGTAAACTTGGTGGATGTGGTGCCAGGATTAGCTGTGTAAGACTACTTTAAAAGCACTGGCATATTTAGTGCTTTATCAGCCATCAACACAACAGGCAGTGAGAGAGAGATGAATAACCAGGAAGAAATAGTCAAATAACTACTTAGGGCTCCTGGACCATTAGTCCTTGGAACTGGGAGATTTGACACTTCAGTCCACTGTTGCTAGAAAATGTGCCCATGGAAAAACAAAGCAAGACTTTGAAAGACACGCCTTTGAAGAGGGACTTCCAACATAGAAACTAGGAGCATATAATGCAATTACTTATTCTTTTGAGACTACAACTGGCCCTTTAAACCTTTATACTTATTGTAGTAAGCCACAACAGAAAGAGTAGGTCCTCCAGTCTTACTTGAAGGGAATAATTAGGCTATTTGGCAGACCAAGTTTGGAGTGTCCAGTGGCTTTTCCTAAAATAAGAAGTATAATGAGGAATCACATATAAATATTAGAAAGAGATATGCTACTTCCTTTATAGTTTTAGAGGGGACTGACTTCTTGCAAAGTTCAAAGGGAATTTTGCACCAGGAATAGGTATTTTAATCATTATTTTCATCGAGTGATTTCAACAAAATTACTTACCTATGATTTAAGCAGTCTGCTACAAGTTTCAGAGTACTCTAAAACATATTAAAACACATTTTCAATCTAACATTACTTTTTCCTAAAATCTGCTCTACAGCAACCTCACATTTTAATTTCAGTTAACCAGAACACTTCTGCACAACAGCTTTTGTTTCCTGCCCCTCCGCTTTGAAGTAAGAGCTAGAGGTTAAATAGCTGATTACAGATAATCCGAATAAAACCTCTACTTGATAAAACAAGTTAAAGCACCTGGCAAAATTCATCACAAAGCAGCCACCAAACTATTCTCTACAAAGCTCCCTCCTCTGCAAGAATGAAATGCTTACAATTTCAGGGACAAGACAGGGAGAACAGGAGCCTTCACCCCAAGGCAAGATTAGCAATAACACTACATGCTGAGTGACTATCAAGTGAAGGAAGGCCTCCACATACCCTGCAAGGATGCTCCAAACAGAATCAACCAAGACCATTAAGGCTTTCCAAAGACATACTCATGTAACACTGCAGCTCAAGGCATTTGGTTTGGATACTGTGTTTCCTGTCATGTGACATCCATCTAATCCATAGGCCATATCAGTAAAACCAGAGTTCTGTAAGTTCCTTCCCTTATCACCCACTCCTACCTCAATTTCACACCCTGGTACTGAGGGATACTCAAGAGTTTTGTTGCAAAGGGAGATGAAGCAAATTTCACTGCAAAGCTTTCTCTTTGTAAGTTCTCAAGGTAACAGAAAGCATTAAATTATGAAAAAGGTTATTTCAAACAGATGTAACGTGTTGTACATGCACATGTACCCACAGTAGTTTCTACACTTTGGATAGGTTGTTAACACCCCCACAAAGCTGCTCATATATCACCATTTATGGACTAGGAACTAGCTGCCCTTCCTAAATCTACAACAGAAAAATCAAAATGCCAGAATCTTCAGCTGAAGGAATTTTTTTCCGAAAGTATCAGAGCTTTGTTCTCTGGGCACACACAGAGCTCACTGCAGTGAGAAACCCTAAAAGATAAAAATAAGGTTGTTCCAGAGACTTATCTGAAGATACAATACACAAACATCAGCTATATTAAGAGTACTAAAATCAAAACAAAAAAACCCAACCCACACATTCAATCCACACTTCAAATATTTCATTTTGGACTTCATTGTACCACTCCTACTGATGCCAGTAACATCATCCTCACTGAGTATACGATCACAAAGATTACTTAACTCCCACTGAACAAGTAAAGCCTTTCAAGGACGGTGTTACTGAGCTGCCAAAGTGAAGTTTCTAGGCGGCCTTCACATATTTGTAGAACGTGCCTGGCTTGTGTGCCTTAAACAAAACTTTCAACTCTTGAATTCGTGTACTAGTCTTCACTAGTGCCATAATGCAATAACAATGATGTAGGTCTGACTGTATGTTGCTATTTTACTGTGCATTTCATAGAATCATAGAATCAATTTGGTTGGAAAAGACCCTTAAAATCATCAAGCCCAAACATTAACCTAGCACTGCCAAGTCCAACACTAAACCATGTCCAAGCACCAAGCACCACATCTCTACATGTCTTTTAAATACCTCCAGGGGTGATGACTCAAACATTTCATTGGGCAGCCTCTGTTTAAATGCTTGACAACCCTTTTGGTGAAGAAATTTTTCCTCATAGCAATCTAAACCTCCCCTGGCAGAACCTGAGGTTGTTTCTTCTTGTCCTATCACTTGTTACTTGAGAAGAGACCGATACCTGTTGTGCTACAACCTCCTTTCAGGTAATTGTAGAGAGCGATGAGGTCTCCCAAGTCTCCTTTTCTCCAGACTAAACAATCCCAGTTCCCTCAGCCGCTCCTTGTAGCACTTGTGCTTTAGACCCTTCACCGGCTTTATTGGCCTTCTCTGGACATGCTCTAGCACCTTAATGTCTTTCTTGTAGTGAGGGGCCCAAAACTGAAAACAGTATTCAAGGTGTGGCCTCAGTGCTGAGTACAAAGGGACGATCACTTCCGTAGTCCTGCCGGCCGTTCTATTTCTGATACAAGCCAGGATGCTATTGCCTTCTTGGCCACCTAGGCCCACTGCCGGCTCATATTCAGGCAGCTGTTGACCAACACTCCCCAGGTCCTTTTCTGTCAGGCAGCTTTCCAGCCACTCATCCCCAAGCCTGTAGCATTGCATGAGGTTGTTACGACCTTAGAGCAAGGACCCGGCACTGAGCCTTGGTGCATCTCATACAATTGGCCTCAGCCCATCAATCCCGCCTGTCCAGATCCCTCTGCAGAGCCTTCCTACTCTCAAGCAGATCAACACTCCTGCCCAACTCAAAGCTATGACAAATTTGACAGTAATAACTACCAACAAGGTCAAGTAATGGTATGCCCCTTTCACAAGCACACTGCATATAGGGTAAAGATTAAATACTCTGTACCTACAGCTTCTTAAATCGCTTCCCCTAAAAAAAGGGCATTCAGGACAAACAATTTTCTACTCTTTTTGTCTTTGCCCTCATCAGGTCTTTCATTAGAGTCGAAAGTAGGCTAGTTAGCAATTCAGTATTTGCTTTGGCTTCTTGACAATTTAAGTTCAGCATAAAACTCTGCTATTATTTCCCATTAAACATCTATCTCAAATATCTGCAATGAAAAAGCAGTAAGACTAACAATGGATAATGTTCTGGAAACTTTTCTTATAAAGAAGGTAGAAGACCTATGTGCATGTTCTAAGCTAGTGAAAAACCACTACATAGATAAAAGCCACTGAACTTCTCTTGGTAGCTCTTTAAAGATGCCCTAAGCTACCCTATGGCCAAAGTCAGGAAAGTATACTCAGGACCAGATAGTACACCACCACAACTAAAATGGAATACTTGCAGATAAAGATGTTACAGGAATGAAACTAGCAGTGGCAGTGCAGTTTAACAAGCTTTTTCTGTGCCTTTTATAGCAGCCTGTTCATAAACAAACAAAGGAGTCAAGACGATGCATTAGATAATAAAACTTATATTACTAAGTTACTTGTATATTCAAACACCTTCATTTCCTACAAAGAGGTGTGCTGATACGTTTGATTACCTGCCAAAGAACGAAAAAACTCAAGGACTGTACAATATGTAACAGATTACCATTAGAAACATTTCTAATATCCTAAACCATACATTTTATTTAATTGCTTCTGCACACTTAGCTGTACTTGTGCAACAGCAGGGAAGTTAAATCACTATTAGAAAGGAGAAGAACATACTACCACTTTTTCCAGAATGACAAGTCAAAGAAAAACACACAAACATTGAGAATAAATAAAGACAGAAGGTACACCCCCGGTACATACAGATATTTATCTCTAAGTTCTCCTCCTGGTTATCTGTTTGAGAAAACATATACCGGCATAACATGCTACCACAGTCAATCATTTTCAGAATTTGGCTAAAGGGTAAAATAAGATCACTTATATACTGCCATCATACCCTAGCCACCCACACAATTTGTACACAAGACAACTCAACTTTTTCCTCCAGTACTACAAGAAACAAGGAAATAAAGAACATTCTGCAAGACTTCAGCAAAACTGAGGATAAAAGCTCACTGCAGATTATGAAATGCAGCTTTTTCTTGTACTTATTTAAGAGTCTAAAAAAAGGCACTGGAGCAGATTTCAAGGGACCTAAGACTCTTCTGCAAAACTTACTCAGGTTAGCCTCATTCCTTCATTTTATACTCCTCCAGAACTCATTTGCAATGCAGACTCTTCTTGGAACAGCAGAAGTTAAGAAAAGGTCATTCTAAATTTCAATGATATATCAGTCCGACCTTCGGCTTCTGGCAAATGTAAAAGATTTGCTTCACTCATACAAGCATCGACATTAGTCAGTACCTCAGAATCCAGCAGAAGTGAAATAGCAAAACTCATTTTCACTTATTAATATTACTACACAGCCATCTCCATAGAAGATGTGCAGGATCTAACCTGCTGGGACTGACACCATCTGCTCTTGACCCTGATAATAAAAAACCTGCTTCTGAGCTTAACAAACTGTGAAAATTCTCCGGTATTGATGGTCTTGAAACTGTGTACACATAGCCTGACATACCTTGACAATACAAAAGCTAAACTACCACAGTTTAAAAAGGCCATTTCACTCCAAAAAGGGAACGAGGTATGTGACAGCAGGAGCTTCAAATGTATGTTCAAGTAACTTCTTTTACTGATAGAAAGATACCCCCAAAGCATTTCAGAGCATTTTTCACCCTGGCTCTGGAGGTAAACCTAGGGACACCTTAGCCAGGCTTACGCTTTATACCTCCTCATTTTCTTCCTACAGACACAACTGCTATCTGCTTTCAGCAGAAAGAGACAACTAATTTTCTTAACGTAAGGAAATGTCATAAACTATCAACACTAGCGTATGTATTCCTTCTCTAGCCACCTCAAATGGCTGAGAGAAGAGCAAACTTAAGTCCTGCCAGCCTGAACAGGGACTCTCAGCAGAATTTTCAGGTTGCTGCTGCTTTAGTAAAGCCAGAGTACTAAGACCTTCCGTCAACCATTTGGCATCAATGTAATTTTTTTGCTACCTCCTCTCAATTCTCCACAGTTCCCCTTCTTGTCCCTGCTCTGAACCCTCAGCATCTTGGTAACTCATTTGTTAGGCCACTCCATCAATATTTTTTGTTTTATACTGTTATGGCTACACAATTTAGAGAATTAATGAAAAGCGGAGACTTACCCTCTTTCCTTGCTCCTTGCCTAAAATTTCTACTTAGTGCAGAGGCAGTCACAGACACTACAATCTGGTAACTGTTTTAAAGTATTACATTTAAAACCTTTGAAGGCTTATGTGGTGATACATACAGGATTTTCTTGTGGTGGGGAGGAGAAGGAAGAAAAGGACCTGTTTTAAGTTTTGTTTGCTTCTCAGAAGAGGCTAACAGTTTTGCTTTCTTAGACGGCTGCACAGAAGATTCTCAGGCTGCTACAGTTCTTAACCATTAAGGGCCAACTGACTTACTCTGCTGTCTTGGCCTTTTACTTCTGTATGCATGCACAATGTTTAAGAACAATCCATACCTTATTTGTAGCAGTAGCACTGGATCCTGGGACCACAGGCACGTTGGTCACTTGCACTGATAAGAAGTTATTGTCTATGAGGGGCCAAGCACCTTCCACTTTGCATGTCTGGAAGTGATCCTTAAAAGTCCTCAGATGAGGATCACCAAACAAGCCACAAAATAGGTAAGTAGGAGGAGAAGTCTTCTCACCTCCCTGATGTTCTCTGGCTTCTGTGTAGCCACTGTAAGTGCAGGGATCACGCGTCATTTCAGGGCTGGTGGAGGATGTGGGTCCATCTTTGGAACAGTTTCTCTGGCTCATGAGGTCGCTGATCCCAAGCACTGCAGAATGGTAGACTAGGTTTCCACGGCATACTTTGGAATTGCGATAGGTACAGGCAGAGTACGCTCGCAGGGCCTTACAGAACTCCAAATCAAAACTCTCAAGAGCAGAGTTTAGATGTGAAGTTAAGGATACAAAATCGGTGGTGCACTTCTGGATTCGACAAGGTGTTTGCAGCTGGCAGTCACCTAAGCACAAAACAGATAGCAGAGGGAAATCAAGCAAACCTCTTAGACTGCAATACCCCATTCCACACCCACAGGTACTGTAGAAAACAACTTGAAGACAACTTAAGAGTGCTCACCCATTGGGAAACACTACGTAATAGAGAAAAAGGGATTGGGAGGCAGAACGATAGCAATACAGACCACCTCAAAGGCTGAGATGACCCATGCATGACTTAATCCATTACTTGATATTGTCTATATGAAAATTAAGAGCACTAACTCCCTCCAAGTATGAGCCCAGCATTTATTTCCAGATATCAAGGTGACGCCATTGTGCTTAAGTTAATCACTTAGTCAATAAGCCAAGTCTCCATTTAGTCTTTCAGTGCTTTACACAAGTTACTGAACTTTTAAACAGAATCCTGCCCCTCAGAAGGATGTGGTAAAGGCAGCAAGCCATCCACGTTTAGACAAAGACAGACTGAATGAAGCAGAAATCAAAGTTTCTCTTCTAGAAAGCAGTGTGGGAGGAAAGAAGGGTAGGGAAGCAGGCAGGCCATAAATCCAGTTTGCTTTATTTCTCTGGCACTGCCAATAGCTAAAGCTTCACTGCTTGCTTTCTGGGACTAACGAGTGAGAAAAACCCACAGCTGTCTGAAGAGCAAGTTGCCAGCTAAGGAATCCATACACTGCCATAGCAGCACCTCTTATAGTGTAATTCAGTAAGATGACACAGGGCAAAGAAACCCTCTCCCCATGAAAACCTGAAATACTTACCTGATGTATGCAACAGGTACACAGTTCAGTTTACGTGAACGAAACAGTTAGACCTTATCTGGTCACCTGATTTCGCCAAAGAAAGCATAATTAACCATCCCAGCAAACAAACTGGAGTTTTACAGCCCTCTCCTCCACACCTCTCACTATCATGATCTGAAATCCTTCCAGATTCTCATGTTCTGCAGGTAAATTTTACACAAGAACTCATGAGGAGCAGAAACAAAACAAACAAGACTACATGCTGCACTACAGGAAACAGAGACACGCATTCCACAGGGGTTAAAACTAGGAGGACCCCAGTCAAAGGAGAGATTGGGTTCTCTCCTATCCAAAGAGCTGAAAACAGCCATAACAGAAAATAGACCTTCATAAAGAACACATGCAAGACTTCATGCAATAGCTGTCCAAGATGCAAAACTATCTACTAAAAACATGCCATGCTTAGTTGTTCCTTTTACAACCTGTAAAATTCAGCTGTGCTTACATTAATCTGTAATTTCAAACTGTCATAAAGCAGATTTTCAACACCACAAAAATGCTTACAAAGATACATGGAAGTGTGGAAAAAAAGGGTAAATACAAAATACCTAACAGATACTCTTTTTCCTGCCCTCAAACCCCTCTTTAGAACATTGCCCACTTGTTTTGTGCGTCCTTAAAGTAAAACAGGCATGGGTCCAATCTGATTTTAACAGCCTAATTAAAACACTAGCGGTGGAAAATGGACTGAATAGTAATGTTCATTTTTAAACACAGGGTTTTTTCCGCAAGTCACACAGTCATGGCAGGACACTAGCAATTTTTTTGCTTGCCCCCTAGCTGACCCTCCTGTGAGTTACAGAATCATAGAATAGTTTGGGCTGGAAGTGACCTTTAAAGGTCATCTCGTCCAACTCCCCTGCAATAATCAGGGACATCTTTAGCTAGATCAGGTTGCTCAGAGCCTTGTCCAACCTGACCTTGAATGTTTCCAGGGATGGGGCTTCTACCACCTCTCTGGGCAACCTGTTCCAGCGTTTCACCACCCTCATTGTAAAAAATTTCTTCTAGCCTAAATCTACCCTCTTTTAGTTTAAAACCATTACTCCTTGTCCTATTGCAACAGGCCCTGCTAAAAAGATTACTCTCGTCTGTAGACTCACTTTTTTAGGCCCACTTTAAGTACTGGAAGACCGCTGTAAGTTCTCCCTGGAGCCTTCTCTTCTCCAGGCTGAACAACCCCACCTCTCAGCCTGTTCTCACAGAGGAAGTGCTCCAGCCCCCTGATCATTTT